AAAAAGAACACAGTCCTAACATTTAGTCCATTTTCTGTGACAATACTTACTTCTTACTCAACACATCTGCTCTTAAGGGCTCATTTGATTCCGAATCACTCACTGCATCTTCATCATCATCTCCTACCATGCTTGGAATGCAAACAAAGAGAGCAGCCTTTATCAATTATTTGTTGTATAAATTCAATTGATGTAACAGTCAAAATGTTACAGCACTCAATTAAAAGACTCCTGTAATACTTTAAAAGCTTTCCAAATCTATTTAAATATTGATGAGTGACAATTTATATTCTAGTACATAGATGCTAACTATAAAAAACAAACGAGACGTCAATTACATGAGTGAAACCTGAGAGATATGTACATCTTCCAGTACTCACAGACCTCCAAAATTTCACTGACGGTCCTTCTTGTAGCTATAAGCCTTTACTTAAAAGCTTTGTCAATTCAAGTATGTTGCATATACTCAGTAGGATAGCACAGTCAGTAATATGTCAGGCAGAAAGTCTACTTCACTGCAAAACTACCCTGTCACCTGCCTCGTGTCAGATGGCCATTCAGAAACCTACCTGTGATAAGGAGTACTCGGCTCATCGATTTTCATCAGGCCATAATCTTTGCCCGCTGGGTGGTACGTGGCTATGATGTTCATTTCGTCCCATTTCTGAGATTTTTTACTGAAACAAGACAGCAAAGTGGTTTTGTTTTAATCCCCTAAAATCAGCTCATTCTGTTTGGCCATGGAAAAGGAATGCTGAGAGCGATTTTTGCCCTCAATTCTACACTATGGAAAAAAAGCACTGTTAAGGCACGGGGGCAAGTTTGAAGTATAAAGGTGGTTGTTAAGCACCACCTCACGCACACTTCTGTTGGGTCAGGACAAATCACCGCTGTGACTTCCCTTTCCCTAACGAGTCACAGTATCTAAATGAACCAGTGCTCACAGATACGTTCAAGTACCTGTGCACATCTTCAAGAGACCACCAGTGCTGCCCACTCACTGCCCGTTAACCAGCTGCTCACTGCAAGTCACTGCAACAATCATTCTTCCTGTCATTACAGCCCTCAACACTTGATGCAAAGAAATAACCAACTTCCACTTCAGCACAGCTCGGTGAGCTGCCAGGACTGTCTGCAGAACCGCTGCACAAACAATAGCAACCAACAGATAACTTCCTGCAGTAAAACTAATTGGACTGAACAAGGTGGTTGTTAATACTGCCTTTGTCATCTTAAATTGGAACCATAAAACAGAACTGACTCACTGCTGTAACTAACCAAAGGGAGTTTCGTGCTCTATACAGCCAGCCACCAGCCATGCTGCTTAATTTAGGATTTCCTCAATTAGTCACAGAATGCATCATTTTATGCGTATTTGTAGAAACAAAAGCCTACCCAGACTGACACAACATGAAAGCCACAAGGGAAGCAACTGCCTTGTGGAAAAGTCCCTCCTCTGCTGGTCTAGAAGCCACTGAAAGGTTCCCTGGGCAACCTGATCCAGTGCCTGATTTAGTGACTGGCAACCAGTGCTGTTGGATCTTTGAGGTCCCTCCCAACCAAAGCCATTCTGTGAAAGATTTAGTCAACAGGACCTACCAGGTTCCACATTTTTCCTAAAGCATCAACACAGCCTTCCCAAGAAGTGGCCTTCTCTTAGATTAAACCAAGAAATGTAATTCTAGAACAGCATCAAGTTCCACTATGGATTTCCTTTCCCTGTAGGGGGCACAGTTGGCGGAAAGAACGTAGCTCACATGCTCTCACTTAAGTACAGACTGCTCCAATAACAAATTGCCAGACCTGACATCTGAACTCAGTCTCAGTAATAGTACTGCTTTTAAGCAGAATGCCATCCGTAAAACAAAACTGATAATGCAAAATTCCAAAGACAAACAAAGCTTAGCCTTCATGGAGAGCTCTCCATAATACGACGGAAAGAAACGGAAAGGATAAAAGAAATAGAAGTGGAAGAGCTGATGCAGAATCCTATGTGCCACAGACCTGTGAGCTGAATAACTTCAACATAAACTAACCAATGCCATAAGTTCCCTTCTGAAGTTCCCTATCTATTTAATCACCTTGTGCAAACTGCAACACCAGGATTGCAAGCTGAGCAGACAGAACACGAGTCAGAGTGCCTGCTTTGGTGGAGAGTCGTGAGCTCCACGATGACAAAGCAAGAGCTCCAGTGTAGGAATGTCCGCTACTCAAACCTGCCTCGTGAAGGTTCTAAAAACCACTGTCTCAATGCCAGCTGAACAGCTGCTTCAAGCTCCTGTGATTAACGTACCACAAGCACGTGGTTACAGGGAGCACGTGAGAATTTTTACTAGCCATAGCAGCTGGATGATGGCACAAAGGGCAAGCTCAGGTAGAGAGGAAATATGACAGATGGGGGATGGTCCCACCCACACCTTAGTGCTCACTGCGCTGCCCACAGGACACCCAGGTGTAACCTGCACCACTTCACAGCACAGGACCCAATCTGCCTCGTATACCAGTCTGGAAATTAGATGGTCCACAGCTAGCAATTCAGGAACTCGCAAATGCAACATGGAAAGAGAATTTAGTGGCCTGTTTTTCACAGTCATGTGTTTAAACTTACATTTCAACACAAAAAGCCTTGGCTGTGGAACACACCCCAGAACACAACTTGAAATTCAGCTGGGAAAAAAATGATCATGAGCGACAAAGAGACAAGCATGTCATCTCACCCCTTGGTGGAAAACAGCATCGCAGGAGGGTGACTAAGTGCTCTAAAAACACACACCTCCCTTGGCTGCCTCCAATTCAGCGTGCTTATGCACGCCATGGCAGCCTAGCATTAACAACAAAGCTTACGACTATCACCACAAAACACTTCCTGCATCCATTCAGAGGACCAGGTTCATATTTCTATATGTGAAACAGACTCTTCCTTAGTAAAATCAGATTTAAAAGATGAAACATTCCACAAGTATTCGTTCGTATTCTTTCACGCCTTCAAATGTCTAAATCATTCATTCTAATACCACAAGCCAACAGGTCAGAGGCTGCAGCATTACTCGAAGGAATACATCTCCTAACTCCCTCACTCCTGCCAGTTCCAACACAGCTACTTGCAGGACTACCCAGCAAACAGGGCCAAGGAACAGCAAAATAGAGCCAGCTACTTTGTACAATGCCATGTCACGTCCTACAGAAACTCTAACAGGAGTGCGAAGGCAAAACATACTTCCTATCTGGTTTGCCAAGAACGTCTCTCCCGTTAAGCCATCATCTCAGCCCTTCAGATGCTGTCCCAGTGATGTCTCAATTTCGCCAATTTCTCTCTTGAATCACGCCTTCATTAAGGATATCATCATCGCCAGCAATAGCACAAGGCTGATGACGATGAAAGTACGAGAGCTCTTCTGAACACGGTACTTTGAAAGATGACAGCTGACACAATGAGCTCCTTTATCTACAGCTATTTTTAAAGGCGTTCAGATTTGAATTTCAATGCTAGAAAGAAGCAGGGAGGCTGCTGACAGACGTGCACTAAGAAAACAGAGGTGTTAATTTATAAACCTGTTTTTTAGTCTTAAAGGAAAATAACTGCAGTACTGCTTGCCATTCTTTCAGAGTACAAAATGGTGCTACTTCTGACCAAATAAAATCACTTTAATGAAGAGCTGCCATCCAGAAAACAACAGCTGCACACAGCCTAACATTAAATATCCTATTCTGATCTTTTCAGGAAATTTTCTATTGCAATGTGCCAGGTTTAGACAGTGTACTTTAACTTGCAAGGCAATTTCAGAATTAACCTAACGATGCATTTATTGACTCTCATCAGAAAACAAGCAACAGAAGATGGAGTCCTGCTCACTTAACTGCAATACCAGCTGTCCCACATACTCAGCTCAGCAGCCTGTATTCTAACTTCTGCTCATCCTACAGGGTGGCGGAAAAAAGACTCCAGAAAAATGAAGCTGAGGCTCCTAACAGCCAGTTTTACTTTATGCCTGCTGTCAGTCAGTTTCTTGTCCTTATATTAAAACTAGGGAACAGAAGGAAAACATTAAAAAGGGACAACTTGTGTGTAGCACATTCTTACTTACATCTGATTGTACTCCCAAAGCCATCACGTCACGGCTTCCATTGCAATACTTTCTCCCTGGAAAGCAGGAGCCCTTAGCAGGCAAGAGAGCAAACCAAAGGTTTTCTGTCCTACCTTGCAGACTCGGACTGTATTAATGACTGCCCAGCCAAAGGGGAAAAGGAATTACTATGCTATAAAGAAGACTACGCGCCCATTTTATTTTATTTCATTATTATTCCTCGCCTCTCCTCGCAATACCGGGGTCTCAGATTAGAAAACTGTCTGAAGCCACGTTATAAATACGGCAGCCTGGGAGCGTGCCGGCGCTCAGACTAACGTTGCAGCGTTACGGCATCTCGAGGCTGTCCTGCTGAGCGCCAGGGCCTCTCCTGCGCTTCAGCCCTCACTGCCCTCATTGCCCTCAACGCCCCGCGCCCCCCGCTCCGACCCGCCTCACGACACAGCGCGCTCAGCCCCGCGCCGCCACCCCGCCGGCCTGGGCGCGGCCCTCACCCGTGCTCGTCGTCGTCGCGGGCCGGGCTGGCCTGCCGGGCCCCAGGCCCCGCGCCTCCCGCGGACTGCTTGCCGCCGCCCTTCTTCAGGATGCCTTTGATGGGCGCCCGGCCCGACGCTCCCGCCGCCGAAGCGGCCGGCACCGAAGGCGCCTCCATGGCCGCGCCGCCTGCCGACTTCCGGCCCCCGCCTCGGCCCGCCCCGAGCCGCATGGCGTCAGATCCGCCGGCGCCGGACAGGTAGCGCTGCGCCTTCGCTGCCGCGCCCCCTGGTGGTTGGAGGACCGCCGCTGTCCTGCCTGCAGTGCTCCTGCTCGACCGCGGTGGGGCGCCGTGCGCCCACGGCGAGCTCTTGCGCGTGCACGGGGCTCCGGCACGCGCGTGGGGCCTCGCGCCCGTGCCCTGTCGTGGATGGCGATCGGTGTCACGTGGGGCGCGGCCCGCACGGCCCGCGTGCGGTTTCTCGCAGGAACGGCTCACTGTCATCCCGTTTCTGTCCCGTTCCTGTCCCCGTCCATCTCAGAGCTGGGCAGGGCGACGCCACGCCAGGCTGGGTGAATGCTGCCTTAGAACTGGGGAGACTGAACCCCTGGGGAGAAACGAAGTGATCTGCCCCCAGATGTCACCCAGTGGGAAGCGGCCGTGCGGCTGTCTGCATCCCCACGTGTCCCCGTGTTACCCCGAGGCTGCAGGGAGAGCCTGGGCTGCACCATGGGATTGTGGTGGAAGCACTGAGAGCCATGAAGGGGAGATGGCATGAGCACGGCACCTGCATGCAACCCTACACGGCTGTGGGGTGCAGCCCAGGGCTCCCAGGGCCAGGGGTGAAGGTGGGAGGCAGGGTCTGGCCGAGCCCCTCACAGTCCAGGGGCTGCAGGAAGGCTGCAGTGGGCTGGGAAGCGCCGCAGGGAGGCACAGAGGGCCGGGAGCAGGTGCTTGGTTTTGTTTTTAATGAGTTGCTTCGGTGCTATGCGAGCAGAGCTGCAGCGGGAGTGAGGTGCTGAGCAGGGCAGCTGTGGAAGCAGGACAAGGCACATTGTAGGCAGGACCTACTATGAGCTGTGCGTGAGAACACGAGGTGCTGGCCCGGGGGCTCTGCAAGGCCTCGCTAGGGGCAGCTGGGGGCACATGCAGACCGTGGGAAGGAGCTGTGGTAAGGTTCTGGGCATTTGGAGACTTCCCAAGCTTTAAATACAAAAACCAAATCTGAATTTTAGAGTGGAGATCAGATGTGGCAGCAACCTGCAGAGAAAGCACACTCAAAATGCCTGGCCCCAGCTGCAGCACTGTCCCCTGTGTTCCCAGCAGGCCTAGAAGCATCAGAACCAAAACTGGGTTCATGATGAGTCTCCCCTGCATCTCACAGCTTTTTGCATCCACATGCTGTGGGACCCGTGGCAGCAGCAGAGCCCCATGCCTGCACATCAGTTGCTGGTTGTCTTCCCCCATCAGCTTGCAGTCAGCCACACTGCAGAAGTCAGGTGGGGTGAGATGGACTGGGAGGAACAGCGACAGCGGGAGTGACACACAGAGTGCGGGGCTGGCAGACTACTGTGAGCGAAGGGATCATTGCTTTGCTCTCTTACACAGAAACACTACTGGCTAATAAGGGAAGCGACCCAGTTCAGAGCTGGCCTGCTGTGCATGGCAGCAGTTACATCTCGGCGGGGCAGCTGAGCTGATCCGTGGGCATCATCTTGTCGGTGTCGATCTTGTAGGACTGGAGCATGCTCTTCAGGTGCTCTACAGTGTCTGGGTGCATGTCGGGAGTTCGGGACATAATCCAGGCGTAGTCAAAGTGGAAAAGCCAGAGGATGTTGGTGCAGGAGTATACCAGCGAGTAGTTCTCGTAGTCAGTGGAGATGACCCAGTATGGTGCAGAAGGCATAACTGGGGAGAGAGGCTCGGTTACACTGGGGGCAGCCACTCCTGCACAGCGGGTGGCCACAGCTCAGACTTAGAGCTGCCCCCGCTTTTGCTGCTGCCGAGCTGTGAAACTGCAGATCTTGTTGACAAAACCCCATCAGGATTCCTCGCTCTGCCAGAGGGACCCAAAAAATGCCACAAAGCCCTGCATGGGAAGCTGTAGCAGGGGAATTAACACTATGACCCAACTTGCTTGCTCAGTCGTCTGGCAGTATGCTATCCATACTCATGTGCCTCAGGCCCCTGCCTGCTCTGAGCCCCATGCCCTCACCCCACTGTGCTGCCAGGCCCCAGGGCAGGCCTGGCCCTTACTCTGTGGCTCTGCCCCTCTGCTGCGAGGGAGCTCAGCCCGCTCACATCAGCAGTACTTACACCAGTTGAAGCGGACGCCCAGCTTGGCCGGCTCCTTCACATCTGTGTGCATGATTTCTCCTTCAATTTCATTTATTTTGCCACTGGAACTAAGGGCAGGAGGACACAGGGAAGAAATCGTATCAGCCATGCTTGAAATCACATTTCAATTTCCTGACTACGTGGGCAGGACATCACCCCTCCAGATACCCTTGCCTACCAACAGGGGCAGACCGCTCCTACTGCCTGTGGGAGCTGCTGGCCTGCAGGGATGGGGGCCAGCAGCACCCAGGATACAGCAAAGATGCAGACCTCCCTGCGCAGGACAGGCAGAGCCCAGCACCTTATGTGATGTGCCAGGGCTTGCCAGACCCTGCTGCTTGTTGTGTGTTCACCTCTGTTTAATCACCTGTGTTTTTTCCAGGTCAGCACACTCTTCCGCACACCAGTGGCCCGCCCCTGCTCGGTGAGCTGGGGTTTGTTCCACTGCAGGTGCTGAGCACGGCCCTGCTGGCAGCAGGCTCTGCCACTTGGACACCCATCTGATAATTGCCTTTATCCGCCACATGCCTCAAGACCTCCACGCTGCCCTTGGGGCAGGAAAGTTTCGCTGTTTCTTGTGAAACAGGAACATCCAGGACAGCAGCGCACAGCCCCATTGGCACGCCGCCTGCATCCCACAAACAGCACACAGCTGTTTGCCAGAGTGGGAGCTGCAGGGACAATGCGGTGCAGCCAGAGAGCAGCATGGGCACAGCTCCCTGCCGGCCACAAGGTGCCTGGTGCCACGCTGTTGTTCTTGTGAGGCAGAACAAAGTCCCCATGCCATGCCAGGGACCGAGGGGACGGCGCATCCCCCCTGCTTGCTCACGTGCTCCTCCTGCCACTGGCACTCCATGGCACCAGGGCTAGCACAGAGCCTGATACATCAACATCTGTGTTTGTTCCTCCCCCAGCAGCCAGAAACAGGGGATGTGGAGAAAAATCACCCCCTAGGATAGGAGGAGGGGTGGTGGAAGCCTCACCAATACAGGCGTGGCCTGCACACCGGCACTTACAGCATCTCCTTGTTGATCACTTTAAACTTCCCGTTCTCCTTCAGAGAGTAGTTTGCCTGGACACAGCTTCCTTTCTCGAAATTTGAGGGCAGCTTTTCTATCTCGTACCATTTTCCCAAATACTGAGAAAAGAAAGTCAAGAGAGAAGCTTGGAGCACAAGGACTGGAGGTGGAACGGCTGAGCCCACTGGGTTTATGTGAGCCACAGGCACTGCAGCAGGGTGGCTCCTCCTGCACAGGGCTGGGTTGGACCGGGAGCAGGGCACCGGTATCACTGCTGCCATTGGGCTTCCAAGTCACCACCGACCCATATCTGAGCACTGTGCCACTGCTCCTGTGCCACCCAAACCCCCTCACTGCCTGCTGTGAGGCTTTAGAATCACTTCACACCTTGTTGATATCGAAGTCCTGCTGCACTGGTGGGTCTGGGCATGGTCCCATGTGGAACATCTGTGCGTTCCCCAAGCCGAGGAGACCGAGCAGGACTGAGAGCTGCACTGCCATGCCCAGCATGGCTGTGCTGGTGGGAAACAGACCTGGGAAGGAGGAAAAAAGCTGCATTTGGTCCTGAGAGGTGACAGGAAGGACAGCGCAGCTTCAGGTGCTGGGGTGCTCACAATTTCATCAACACCAAATGAAGTGTGATCTGACCCCTGCGAGGTGTGCTGTGAGGAGGCAGAGGGCACGTTTCCTGCAGCACAGCCCCCAGCCCCATGCCCCAGGCACGATGCAGCATCCTTCATGATGTGCTGAGCAGTGCAGAGCCGGGTGAGACCTGTGCCTTCTACCCCACATAGACCCAGCTCCACAACCCTGCCCACACGGTCCGGGCATGGAGCTGCTCTGCGTCCAGAAAGGAGCGGCAGCGGCATTTCCCCAAGTTTTGAAGATGAGCCCAGCCTGCCTCCAGCTGCAGGGCATGGCCTCTCTGTGGACAAACACAGCATCTCCTAGCTCATACACGTACCTTGGCTGATGAGACACAGCGATGCTCCGCGAAGGACCAGGTCCGTACAGAACAGCTCTGCAGGGAGATCTCCACCCCTCTTTTTATAAGCGAGCCAGGATTCTCATTATTCAGCACCAGCACAAGCCACTCCCTGGCCTTGGACGTGTTTTACTTTGCGGAGGGCCGGTCGGCTGCCTTGGATCCGTGGTTGGTATGGGGCCAGGGATGGGCCGTGCCTTGGCTGCTCACCCATGCAAACAGCACCCCTCGTCTCTGCGCTCTGCTCCCTGCTGCTGGGCAGCCCCGGCCGGCCGCTCACACAGCCCTGTGGCTGCACACAGCGGGAGGGAGAACCTGCAGCCCTGCCCTGTTGCACTGACCCATCACTGTGCTCCTGGGTGAGATGTGACCGTCCCGTCTCGCACAGAGCCTGTCCTCTGCCCCACGTCCCACGGACCCTTGGTGTGCACGGAATGGGGTCTGTACTGCAGCGTGGTGCCACCCCATGGCCGACCCACAGAGGGGCCTCCTGCTGGGGGGAGCACCGGCTGCTCACAGCCACCTCTGTGCAGGGTCTGCCTGGTGACACAGGCTGGCAGTGTGTGCAGTGCTTGTGCAAGGCAGCTCCCAGTCATCCTGGTCAGACCCAGCGCACGGGGAGGATGAAGTGCAGGAAGCACTGCAGGAATGCTGAGGAGCCGCAGGGTCTTTTGGCAGTTTGTTTTCCAGACTTGTCTCATCCCGAATGAAAGGTGTCAATGTAATTAGTGGTATGCTGAGCTGACAGCCCTTCCAACAGGTGCCCAGCAAATGGCTCTGACAGCAGAGCAGTCATCTGTGCATCCGCCGGGCCCATGCGTTATGCAAGGAGCTGGGTGGCAGCCAGCTGCCCCGTGTGGTTAATTGCTGTCTTTAAAACCTTATATCTGCTGAGACTTTCACTCTGTGTGCACTTACATGTGTGTGCACATCCTAGGGATCCCCTGGCTGCTCACATGATGCCCCAAGAGCCACAAATATCCCTCCCAAAAAGCCCATGCAGGGACAGTCAGGCCATGATGGGCCCCTTCAGGTGCATTAAGACAGAACCGAGGTGAGCTGACAGCTGGGTCCTGGCTGCTGGGCTGCCTGGTGCCTGGGCTGTCCCTCTGTATCTGCCCGGCCACACAGAGCCAAGGGTCAGGGGGAAGCTGAAGCTGAGCCTCCCGAGCAGCTTAATTGCAGGGTGCAGAGAGCTCATCTCCAGCTGGCGGGTGGCTCCTGGCCCGGGGCGGAGGAGGGAGGCACATCAAAGAGCAGGAAGCTGGGGCAGGGCTGGGAGCACAGGAAGGAGGAGAGGTGGGGGGAAGCCGAGCCCAGGGAGAGCAGGAGGTGCCCGGAGCGCTGCTGCAGGAACGGCGCCTCCACCCGTGTCTGGGTGCCAAAGCGCTCTGACCAGATGCTGCTGCCCGCTCCTCACCGTGCACCCCAGGGATGCCTGCTTAGGGCGGGAGGCAATGGAACCCCTCCTTGCACTGAGAGCCTGAGGCAGGGAGGGGTCTCCTCCAAAATGCCGTCTCCCCCGTCCACCTCTGCCATGGAGAGCGCCGCAGTGTGCACACTGACTGTGGTACTGCTTAGAAGCTCCACGTGGAAGTGCTTCTCAGGGAGCACAGCATGCGGTGGATGCAGGGCTGGATGGCTCCTGGGGCTGCTGCTTGTGGCAGGGTGGTGGAGCTGCCCTGGGATTTTCAGTTGCAAAGGATGGGAGAGCAGCTGGAAAAGCCTCTGTTGGAGGCACTGCAGTGACCAGGAGCTCAGCCTCTGCTGTGGGACACCAGCAGCTCCTGCCTCAGTGCTGGAGCAAGAATGTCCTGGGGCCACGGCAGAGATCCAGCACAGGGACAACACTGTGGCTCTTCCTCATACAGAAGGTTCCTTTCTTCCCTTTCTCTGTCTTCTCCCCTGCAAGTTCATCTGGAGTGTTTTTCTACCTCCTCTAAAGGAAACGTGGTTTTGGGAAGGCCAAACAGGCCAAAACATGCACTGAGACAAAAATGAGCCCAGAGGGGAAAAGGCAGAGAAAAGAAGGGCAGGTGGGAATTCTTCTCCGTTTCTAGGAGTGGCAGAAAGTGCTTTGAAATCTGTTTGTGCAAAATGGTGTAAAAATTCCAATTACAGCTATAGAACCGAAGGAAATAAACAAGCCCTGGAAGCAAGTAGTGGCCTCTGGGATGGAGGAATGTGGTCCAAGGTGACTGCCTGAAAGATGTTGTGATTCATGTGTGTACATTAGTGAGTAATTTTCCACCTCGGAAATTATCCAATTACATATTCAAAACACAAGAAGGCAGAGAGAGATTTAAGGAGTTGTAAAACTGAACAAGATGTTATTATGCCAAAGCAGTCCTGGCGGTGAAGGTTGCCCTGGTCCAGGTGGGCAAATCCCTGGGGAGAGAAGTCAGTGGGGTCCCTCCCTGCCTGATAGGAGAAAAAATGAAACACAGCAAATTAAAATAAGGACAGAGAGGTATAGCCAGGCAATCTCCTCAGACAGGACTACATTGCCGAGGTGGCAGAACTTCACCCCTGTGGACCAGAGCTCAGGTACCGCTTGATCCCAGCCTTCCAGCCTGACCCAGAGGTGCCCCGTACCACGCTGTACACTGCTAAATAAGGGCAAAAAAATGTTCATTTTGCATTTCACTGCTGCGTTATCTCTCACTGTGCTGGGTACCAGGCACAGCGTTGTGTTCAGCCCCACTTGGAGGAGCGAGGAGGGGTGCTGTGGAGGACTCCTCCAGGGCCATGCAGCAGCTTCCAAGGCTGTGCTGTGCCACACCACATCATGTCACAGGGGTCAGCGCTTCAGCCTGGCCCAGGCACTCCTTCCCACACACATCCATTTTTTGGCAGAGTCCTTCAGTGGTTCCCAGCAAACTGAAGCATTTATCAAATGCTCGTCCAGCATACTTGGAGCTGTGGTGGGACTTTGCACAGGCTGCAGATCATTGCAGCAGAGGTGATGGCTGTGCCCTGAGTGGCTGCAGTGAGGCTGCTGGGCTGGAACTCATCTGCCTCAGTGCAACACAGGCCTGAGTGTTCCCCGGCTGGAGCTTACCCTGTACAGAAAATAAATAGCATACATTCTGCACCCAGTGCTCTGGCTTTGTTTCAATCCACAGTTAGGCTTTGAAATAGCACAGAGATACCATTCATGGTGAGCTTTGTACTAGTCAGGGGATTTCAGGAATGATTAATTCACTTCTGTAGCATTGACACATAAGTCTGGAGCAATGTCTTCTATTCTGCTACAAAAAGTGATTCAGCTGATGGAAGAGGTAACAGTGATATGGACATCAGTTATAACAACAAAACAGATTTGGTTTTCCACTTTCTAACACCTTCCAGACAGCAGCAGAGGTGTGAGGAAGCTGAGCACAGGCAGAGGGAGCTGCTCGGACACCTCACACACCAGCAGCAGTGCCAGGAGCAGAGCTGCTGCATCTCAGTCTGTGTTACAGCATTGAAATGGAGCAGCTCTTCCTGGACTACATGCCTAAATGCTCACTTTACAATCAAAGCAGCTGTTTTCTTCAAACTCACCTGTTTCTACTTTCATCAGTGTCTTCACACACGGTGAAGGAAGATGGGTCAGGCTGCTCCAGATCACTCTGCTGCTCTGGCTGTGTGCTGGAGCTGCCAAGGGAACTGCCTGGTCCTCCAAGAGAAAGACAAGAGGCCAAAGAACCTGGCACAGCACTTGAGGGTGGACAACCTTGCAGGTGCAAAGCAGTGCTGCAAACCCCTCGGCGGTGGGAGACAGAGACCCGCTCTGCAACTGTTCTGCTTGCAATCAGTGCTGGGAGATGAACCCCTCGAGGGAAGTGAAACTATCCACCCTGAGAGAAGTGAATCACTGCACGACAGACATGACAACCACACCTGACCATCGGTGCCTGAAGCTGCCCCCTCCCAGCCAGGTGATGCTGTCGTGGCTCTGAGCAGGCGATGTGCACACAGGGGTGGTCAGACTGAAGAGCAATGTGAAAAAACCATTCGCTATACCAAGATGCTGCCAGAGAAGGCATTGCACCATTGTGCCTCTGGAGCTTCTATCAGGGAAGAACTGTTATTCCACATTGTTCTAGGTGAAAGCACAGCTGTGCTATGTCCTCAAACACATGCCAGGGAGAATATGATCTGGCCATGCTGGTAACATCCCTGAGGCTCTTCCAGCTCTGCTGAGAATTAATGCACTCCACCTGGCTCTTGGCCAGACCCCAGAGGTGGCTCTGGCTCTGTTACAAGTTCTCATGCTATTTGTAGCATCTCTCCCACCCCCAGCACTCAGGCAGCTGGCTGAGAAACATGCTGTTATTGGTTTTGGTTTGTTAAAAAGGCATTTCTCAGCGTTGTGGTTACAGAAGAAGCTGAAGACTCACTTTTGAAACCCCAGTCAGAAAGACAGGTGCTTCTGCTGCTGGTGTCTTGCTATTTACAGCGTCACTGTGTCCAGAGCAGCCCAAGACTAGGAAGATTAAGACCTAGGACACACAGAATGGTTTTGAATTTGTAAAGCACAAAATGAGCCTCCAGCTGAGATGCGCTGGGTGGCACTGTTGCAGTGGATGCAGCTGTACCAGCAGCAGTCAGTGCAGGGCAGGGCTCAGCAACCTCACAGAGCTGATGTAGCTGTTGTAGTAATCTTGAGTACAGCCTTCTAACCTTCATTTCACATGTTGAACACTTTTTTCTTTTTCAGATGGTAATGATGCTCATCTTTGATCTTTTCTGCGTGGCGGTTTAACCCAGTGGCTCCTGCTAGCAGTGGGTAGGGACAGCACGTGAATTTACAGCTTCTGCATCTGAAACCCTCAGCCCTGTTTCCTTGCCAGAGCACATGAATTTATTTGTCTAACCTCAGTCCTTCAAACTGAACTTCACTCATCATATAAGTGGGAGGCCACAGCTGCCTGCACAGTGCTGCGCTTCAACACTGAAAAATGATGTGGATGAAAAAGTTTAAAGATGGAGGTTCTTTAGTCAAGATTCAGTACAATCTTCAGATACATAAAAAGCAGTTATGAATGGAACAGGCTCCAGTCTGTGTCTCCCACTGGTGCAGGAGATGTTTGAGGGTTGAAGTCAGGAGCCCTGGGTACCCAAGTCCCCATGTAGACCTTTGAAAACAGGACTGCACCACAGCAACAGAGGTATGGTGCTGAGGAGAGCAGCCTTGGGTAATGTCCCATACTGGTTTCAGGAACATTGCTGTGTGTGAGAACACTGCCATCACTGGCCTCCTTCCCAGTAACGTTTCTGGCAGAAATACAGCTCCTCAGCTACAGGTTCAAAGCCAGATATGCACAAAGGGATCTTAAATCCAGCAGCCATCCACCTCCATCCCAGGTATCAAAGCAATAGGCTCCACAGACTGTTGCCAACACGAGTTGGTCTGATGCACGCTTTGGCCAGGAAAAAGAGTTATCTGTTAATTTGGGCCTGCCTGGCAGAGCAGAGCAGCTCACATCCCTGGTCCTTTGTTTGTTGTTTTTTTTGGCAGTGCTCAGTAACCAGACAGTGCCTTTGAGGCCATCATTTGGAAGAAAAGTGGCACATAGAAATATTCCAATTGTAACATTATCTAAGAGAAATTATGCACCATTGCCTATGAACACTTCTCCAGATGCTGGCTGTTCTCTCAGCCAACAGACTGCAGATTACCATTCCAGTGCAGCAGTTAACATTTGGTATCGCTCAGCTCCTGACCAATTCTGCAATTGTTTGAACTCCCCCAGACACACAAGAACAGCAGACCTACAGTGTCATTCATTCCCAGCTGTGGTAACAACTTCTGAAGCCCAGAGGAAGGAGCATGCATTCTTATTCTCTGTGTGTCTCCCTGTACAGCTAAGCACATACAAGACCATCAATGAGGGATCTCCATAGCAACTTCTTGCCTCTGCCTGAGATGAACTGCTTCCTCTGCAGCTCTTGCTGCTTAGAAGCTTTCTGGTTTCTCTGGACTTATAGAGATCTTTATTTACTTACTTTATCTTTATTTACTCCACCCCCAATGAACCTCACCCTGTAAACTCTCTCCCTGTGCTGCCAGTTGAGGATTCATGTTGGGTGTAAGCCAAATACCACAGGTTCTCTGAGGTCAGGGACACACACTGAGATTTGTCACTATTCTGGGTCTTGCTTTGTGGTTCAGACAGAGAGATCCTGGAGCTATTTGGAGCACCCAGACAGATTCACAGCGCTCATATCGGTGGCTGCAGAAGTTCCCTTGCTGTGTTAAGTTGGCCCAGAGCAAACACGACATGCAGACAATCACTCCTTGGCTCCCAGAGGCATCATAGAGAACTAACCCCATGTGAACAGGAAAACAGAACTATTTTGCAAAGACTGAAGGAGCTGTATGTCTTAAAGTATGAAGAACACGCAGGAAAGGCAGGACTGCCATGGTCTTAGCAGCTGGCCATTTGTAGGAAAGCCACAGCCTCCTACTCCTCATGGATACCAGAGCAGAAACGAGCAAGGATTTCCATGGGATATCACTTAGCTTCTGACTTATCTGTCCTCCAGGCTTGAAGGTCATTCTCAAAAGGAATTAAGCTTTCTTCCCTGTTACTCATTAGCAAGACAACGATCTCCCTCAATGACTGCATAATGCAACATGCTACAGTGATCTAACTGCCTCAGGGAGCAGATTTTAAAACCACGTTTTCTCTGGACAGCAAACAGCTGCTGAAAGATGGGAAGGGACCCGCTCAGTCAGCTTGGCTCTCCCCCGCTGGATCAGAGCTCACGTACTGTACAGAAACATCTGATATTGCTCTTCCACGTCAGCACTCTCACCCCCAGCCATCCATGCAGAGCTCCCAGCAAGGCAGAAATCAGACTGGGCTGTGGCAGCTCACCTGAGCACTTCTCAGAAGGACAGACCAAGGGACTGGGGCTCACATGCTGTGAAATCCTAATGCCGGCTCTGGCATGAGGTCCTCGCATGGCCTTGGGCACTTTTTGGCTTGCAAGTCTCAGTTCTGCCTGTAAGAAGAGCTAATCCTTATTACCTGACAGCTGTAGCATTTGGATTAATTACATGGAGAATGCTGAGGCAATGAATAACTTGCATCAACACTCTCTCACCAATGTCACTTGAGGGAAACCACATAAAATACAAACAGTGGTAATGTGTGTGTTTGCAGAG